ATAAATTCAGTGGGGGATTTGTGGGGGATCTTTGGCGGATATGGATAAAAGTTGACTTTTTTTGACTTTTTTGGTATCCGTCGGAAATCCGTCGGTAATCCGTCGGTAATATTTCCGACGGAATTTCCGCCAGAAAAATCCGTCGGTGATGCCCTTTTTTTTAGTAGTGTGGGAAAGATGTTGTTTTAAACTATAAACATTCTTTTAATTGTAAAAATTGTCGTTTTTGAACATTCATTTGGTTTTACCGTTTCTTTATTGGCAATATAAAATGCTTGAGTTCGAGTTAGAGGGTTGTAAAGGACTTAACTCTTACCGGATGAATATGATAAGGACCAATAATCTTATCCGGTAAGAGCAAGACAAGGACCAAGAGTCTTACCTGGTAAGTGAGAGCGAGACTCATACCACGGTGAGCGCAATCGTTGCATACAATGTCATGTTGATAGACTAAAATCTTATCCGATGAGTAAATGGTAATGTTAAATTTTACCAGTAAGTGCTTACCATGTAAGTGTTTGGTAAACAACCCTTGGTATCACTATAAAGAAAGAAAAAAATAAGTGGTATTTATAAGATTGAATAGAAATCATATGTCCCTAAATTCCATTTATGATCGATTAGGGATTTTGATACCATGTGAAGCACGATATCTTGTCGTGAAATGAGTAAACAACGCAAGATAATTGCTAGCCAGTTGTTTCACCTTCAAGATCCTTGCTCTGATCATAGCCTTTTCGCTAGTATCTATTCCATCCACCACAATCCCGTCCATGCACGTTGTGGCACCCGTCAAGGCCGCACTGACCCAAGTTTGCACGTTACTCTCGTGCCACAAAAAGTTATCATCCCCATCTTTTCCCATTTGTTGTAACTCCTTAAACGATTGCGTGATTTGGTTCACTCCATCGCTGATTTGATGAAGACATTCTGCCATTGCTTGATAGTCTTCAGAGTTCTTCGTTTCATTGAGTTTCTTCGCTACCATGTTCATATAGGTCTTGGTGAACCGAGCTTTTGATAGACATGAGGCCAGTGAAACTTGAGCTAATAGTTTCGGACTTGGTAGTCCGGTTTTGGTTACGTAAGGTAAAAGTGTTTGAACACATAGATCAGGATGTATCGTTGATCGACACTGTGATCCAACGTACATTCTAGCACGAGAACGAGACTCGACAATGGTCAAAATCAAGAAGATGGTGAGAGAGAAAACCAAGAAAGGGAGAAAATTTTGTGCCATTTTTGTGGGTTTTGTTTTTGTGTTTGAGATGTGGAAAATGGAAGAAAGGTGAGTGATTATATACAAAGTGGAGTTGTGAGATGCATTTTAAATCAATTAAACTCTGCATTAATTGGATCCAAATTGCTTCAGATCCAAAATATCACACATGAAAGTTGCTTATGAAAAGTTATGGTTGAGTAATTAAAAGATCAAGCAACACCATTCATGTCTCACCGACCACTTCTAATATATAAATCGACAGATGGGTGGTTTGCACGGTTTGTACAAATTGAATGGTTTGCATTTGATCGCTTCTCTACATACATATATATATATATATACACACACGCACACACACACGTATATATAACAAAAAATTGTGTATCATGTGTAAAGACACTATAGTAATGGTTAGACAACCTAATAAATTCCATCGACAAATTAGTTGGGGGAGCTTAATAGGATGAAAAAAAATCATTCTATACACACACTTTTTATTAACCATTGCAACAAAACCGGGTTTATATGACACTCCCAATTTCTAAGCGTCCTAATAGACATCTTTATAGGACCAAAAAAATAAAGTGTTATATCTAAAGGCGTTGTAATAAGTTTATATGACGTTTTTTGACGTCGATAAGTTTTTTATGACATTTTTAATATAAAACATCTCATTAGCAATTTTATAGGAGACTATTTGAAAAACTGTCGTATAAAAACAAGTGTTCTATAAAAAATTGAGTTTATAGGACACTTTTGATAAAGTTTTTTAATGCGACACTTTGTATTAAAAATGTCATGAAAAACTTGTTAAAACGTCCAAAAGCGTCATATAAACTTATTACAACATCTTTAGATAAAACGGTTTATATTTTGGTCCTATAAATTAAGTCCAATAAAGCGGTGTATTATGACGCTTAGAAATTGGGGGCGTCCTATAAACCCAATTTTTTTGTAGTAAACTTATTGTAATATTTTTAAATTTATGTCGTCATGACTGAAATCCCCTTGTTTATACACGATTTCAGTAATGTTTTTATTTTGTTTTCTCTAACGATAACGCAAATAATTGAAATCCAAAGTTTCCTTCGTTCGTGAATTATTTTTTATATATAAGTTCAATATTTTGCAATAAATGGCAACGACGTTTATAACAATGCTAATCGTATTTATTAGAGACTATAAACGGAATGTGTTTGTTCACCGTCCATTAAACGAACCTATTCTTTGTTTCCCTTTAAAGTAAGTTAGTAACGTAGCTTTTGAAGTAACGAGTTTGAGTCCCGGCCTTCGGTTTGAAGACATATTAAGAGTACCGATGTTTATGGAAATATGTCTATAAAGCAAATGAAACATAATAATTAATTAATTAACATAACATAACATAATCCTATGATTAATTAATTAATTAATTAATTAATCATATAAAACTTCACTTTTCAGCGACATTGATGAATGATCATAATATATGAGGTGGGGCTTGTAACGAGGGTTAACTTGAATCAACCTTAAAATTGTTTTATAATATACTTCTTATTATAGTTAGTGGTGTTAAAAAAACCTGATGGACCGTAAAAACCGATCGAACCGAACCGAACCAAACCTGGCTAGTTTTCCCGATTTGGACGGTTTGATGGTTTAGTCCAGTCAGGAAAATTGTCAAACTAGGTGGTCCAATCCGATAGGCGGTTTGAGCGATTGTTTTGGTTGTCTAAACCGAACTGACCACTTATACATATAAATATATAATTTTTAAAATATCATCTATACTATATTATAAAACATTTGATAAAAACTCTTAAAAACCATTCTTTATGCATCAAGTATTGTTTATTAATACATATTATTTAAAATTTGAGATTACAAGTAAATAGTGTGTAAGTACAACTTATTAAAGCTCGGTGTTCGAATTCGTGTAACTAACTGCGGATAAACATAATCAAATAGAGGATAAAACATCTCATTTTAAAATATAAAAAATCTAAAATATGTATAGGATAATTATCGAGTTCTAACAAAATAGTTAATTATTATATTTATAAGAAAATTATATTATTAAACCAAATATAGATTACTTAATTGTTGAACCTAAGTTAAATTATAATAAAAAATACAAAAAATGAGTAATTTTAAATAGTTAATTTTGATACTAATATCGATATATTTTTGCCAAATTTTTATGATATATTTAAATTTATATTTTATTCAAACATAAAAACATCATCGTTTTTTTCAAAATCACATAAGACCATATTATAACATCGACTGAGATAAATAATAAAATAAAATATTAAAATCAAGATTTATCTCGCTGCATTACACGAGTACCCTTCTAATTTTATTTTAATATCGAACTCTTAGATTTACATATTGGATTAATATTTATAAGTCTTTTAAATTTTAAATGGTCTTAATATTATAAATTATCATTTATTAGATTTATATTTATTTAAAATTAGAATTTAATTTACCAATTATTAATTTAGAGTTCTTTCAATTCAAACATCACATCATTATTTTACCAATTTCTAATTCGTGAGTATATATGTATGATGTATGCATGGCAGAATATAATACCTCACATCGGATGGGTAGGGGAATTAAAGTTGTGTTATATGTGACTGGATATTGGTACGGTTAATGTGGAATGTTAAATTCGTGAGTCTAGATTTGTGGACAAAGAGGATAATATTTGGTGGTTGGATTGGGATGTTATAAATTGTATCAGAGTCGGGAATCAGACTGGTGTGCTAGTGAGGACGCTGGGGTCCTAAGGGGGATGGATTGTAAGATCCCACTTCGGTTGAGGAGGGGAATGAAGGTTGCCTCATAAGGGGCTGTATACATTGTCTATCAGACGCATTTTGAAACCGTAAGTCCAGGTGTGTGGACAAAGTGGACAATATCTGATACAGTTGGATTTAACTTTTTTAATTCATATTTTAAATTTTAAGCCAATAATTAACCCAAACTGTCTCAAAAAATGTATTATAACCCAAGTTTGTTGTAATGTCATGTCTTGTTTGTCATTGAACCCACTACTCAAATAAGTGTGAGATGGATGAGTCTTGAACAAATATGAACATCCGGGTGATGGTGACGTTTTTTTTTCCAGATATATGTAACTGGTGAAAGACTAATACTTGTTCTTATTCATAACAAATGTAACGTTTATCACATCTATTTCAGTTCTACATACTCTCACATTATCAGTTTTATCACAATTACGGATTGTTTGTCACAATTATTTATGATTAGGGGTGTTGGACTCGTATCAAATTAAGCCAACACACATTAATACCAACTATACCAATTTAATTGGTACTGACTTACGTCAGTTGGTATTACCTTATTAAGTATGTAAACTTGATTGATACAGGATATAAGAAATTTTGAATCGGTGTATTATTGTATTGTACCATGGACGAACCTACTATAGGGTATACGGTGGCACGAGCCACCGTATTATTTTCCTCCGTCGAAGGGTAGAAAAATTTAGGTTCGTAAAAGGTACAACCGTATTAATTTGTCGTGTGGCACCATATATATTTTGAAATTAAAATGAAAACAAATTTTATTTGGTAGAGTTGATTTGCAAGACTTTTATTCCACCCAGAGCCAAGTTCAAATTCTATCAGTGGCATTTTCTTAATCAAATGGTGCCACTGTTTGAAAAAAATTTCATATATTTGTTTCTTATAGTCAAACAGTGATGTCGTTTAAAAAAAATTTCCTATATTTTTTTCTTATAGTCAAATGGTGCCACCATTTGAAAAAAATTCTGCGTCCGTCCCTGTATTGTACCAACTTAACTAATTATTTTTTAGTTACTAATTAATATTTAATACTTGATTAGTCTGATCAACTATTGAGTATTGTTTTTGTTTGTGAAAATCCCATATGTCATACCCTTTTTGAATAAGTCGGTTTTAGAAGACTTAGAAGTCCAGGGGCCTTATGTGTTAATTTATTTTGTTGAGGGTTACTTTTGGAAAAAGTTGAACCATATAAAGGTGATTCTTGTTCTTGTAGTTTTATCTTGGAATCAAATATGAATCTTCCTTTACATTCTTTTTCAATCTAGTTTTTGATTCAATCTTGGTGCTATGAGTTTGATCAGGGTTCTTGGCTAAAAGATGATTAGGGTTCGAATCTAAGGAGGAATAAAAAATCTCTTGTGGTCACGGATGTTCAAATGCGGTGACTCCGGACTATACGCAAAGCCGATGGTCGTCCTGGAATTAGTCGGCTCACATAGCGAATTGGATATCCAAGTTAATAAAAATAATCTTGATACTTACAATTTTGAATGAGAAAATTTAAGCATCCATATTTGAGTTCTTCCTACTTCAATTTTCTGGATCATAAATTCTTCTCTTGAAAGAGTAGTTGAGAGCCTTTCATTATGTTGTGAAGAAAGAATGTTATGGTTTTATGTATGCTCTTGTGATCAATAAAAGTTTGAAGAGTAGAGTTTTATTTGTTCAAAATCAGGCTTTATTTGTCCAGAGGGTTATGCGACCTCAGCCGTGACTTAGGTCGCATAAGTCCCTGTGGACTCATATTTGGGTTTTTGCTTCGTGTTGTTTTGAGATCTTTCTGGGTATCATATAGACTCTTAGAGATTGTTTCGAGTATAATCCATTTAGATTCTAACCATGCTTCCCTTATTTAGATTTAAGCGTTCGGTTTTGAAATCTCGTAACAATTAAAGTCTATTTCATCGTTTATCATATCAATATGAGTTTTCTTATAATCTTTTTAAATTGAAATGCATATGTTATCAAATGATTACTACTTTGTTATTATACGTTATTGGTATGTATGAAATGTTACTGTTAACTGTGATACGGTATTGCTATAGTTGGTAGTGCTTGAGAGCCTACTTTATAACTAACTGGGATGTAGTGTCTGAGAGCCTACTTTATATCTAATTGGGATGTAGTTCTGTCTGAGACCCTACTTTATATCTAATTGGATGTAGTACTGTCTGAGAGCCTACTTAAGATCTAACTGGGATGTAGTACTGTCTGAGAGCCTACTATATGACTAATGATTTAAAAGGTTTTATATTAATTAGTTTTATTGCATTGTTGCACTGTCAGAGATTTTCTCACTAGACCATATAGTCTAACTCTCATTTTGTTTTCAAAAATATACATTTCAGGACAGCGACAAATAGAAGGTAAAGGAAAGGATGAAATGTGAGATCACCTTATTTGGTTTATCTTTTTTTTTTTAAGTATATAATATTTATATACGACGAATAAAACAAATAAACTTACACATCATCATCACTTTTGGTGAGGTTTGAACCATTGACCTCTTAGGAGGCCAATGACTCACATACCGCTAGGCCAAAGACCATTTGATTTATCTTGTTTGAAGATAATCAAGAAGGAAATTGAAGTCTTCTTTTGATATTGGCTATATGGATCTTCTGTATGAAAATGTTATCAGCAAAAAACTGTGGTAGATTTCAGACAGTTGTATAGTTTTGTAGAATGGGACCAAATTTATATCCCAATGTAATGGTTACAGATTATTTGAATCTATGGGTTGTTACACCGTAAAACATAGCCTTAACTCTACTTATCATACGATTCTTTATCTGATTTAATTAAATAAGTAACCACTAAAAATTATTTAATTGGTTATTATATGTTTTGGTTTGACTTTTATCTTATATTTATTTTGTATTTAAATTTGTTTTATATTTGTCATTGTAATTTTTATTTATGTTATCGTATTTTTAGGCATTAATTAATTATTTTGCATTTATTTAAATAAACTCACCATTTGTATTAATTAAATAGACTTTTGCCCTAATTCGAAAATGTATTGTTTTACTTGCTCATCTAAAATCCAAAATTCATATTCGATAAATGATATTTCATCATCAAAAACATGTATCGTGACCCGTGAACAAGAAAAATTCAAAGAAAGAACGAACAATTATTCTTAACACAACAAATCGAGACTTAGAACGAACACTTAGTTTAGGGAGTCCTGATCACACGAGATCCACGGTGTCGTGTCGTGAACCGGTTAAACAACGCAAGTGCGTTACTGGCAAGATGCTTAACGTTCAAAACCCGTGCTTTAATCATCCCCTTTTCCTTCCCACTGATTGCTTTATCTGATATCCGATCGAGACATGTCGTCACATCCGTCAACGCCGTGCTAACCCACGTCTGTACGTTACTCTGGTGCCACGTAAAGTGTTTCTCCCCATCAAGCACCATTCGTTGTTGCTCCTTAACCGATTGTGTTATCTGGCTCACTCCATCGTTGATCTGAGACAAACAATCCGTCATCGCTTCATAGTATCCCGCATTAATCTTTGTTTTGTTGAAATCTTTCGCTACCATATTCACGTAGGACTTTGTGAGTCGGGCTTTGACTAGACATGTGGTTAGCGAAATCCTGGCCAGTTGTTCAGGCCCGGGTGCGTTTGTTTTGCTGACAAAGGGTAGGAGGGTACGGATGCATAGTTCAGTGTAAATCGTTGAACGGCATTGGTGCTCGACGTATGCTCGGGCTCGAGAACCACATTCAACGGTCGGGTTTAAGCCAAAAATGGCCAGAAAGATGATTAGCAAAGAGAGGATTTTATGTGCCATTTAGTTTGATTTTGAAATGTAGATCTTTAAGAGGTTGTGCATGGTGTTATATAGGGGGGTGTCACGTTCACCGCAATTTGATCAGATTTCAATTATTAAAATATATTTAATTAAAAAGTATATTGTTTTACGTGTAATATAATAATTTTATATTAATTTAATGTGATGCTGCAAAATAAAATTATTGCAAACAATAAAAAATAAACAGTTTTTTGATTATTTAATATTAAAATAAACAGATTATATAAAATTAAAAAAAAAATTAATAATTTAAATACCTACGATATGACATCTCTACTAAGGGGAATGTTGATCAAACACTTGGTTGATAAGTGTTTGTAGGTAAAATTCAACAATATCACTTAGTTATTGTGTGAGATTTTAGTTCACTGAAACATCATATGCAACAATTTATTCGGTAAGCATTAATCGTGGTAAGAGCCATCGACTTCATTTACCGTGTAAGACTCTTAGTCTTTATCTCGTTCTCACGCCCTCATTTACTGGGTAACACTCTCGGTCTTTATCTCGTTTTCACCGGATAAGATTCTTTGTCATTGTTTTAATCATCCGGTAAAATAATATGATTTAGTAAGTGTTTGTCAGAGTAAACGTTTGGAAAAGGCCTCTAACTTGATAAAACTAACAAAAGAAACACTTTTTTTTATAATAACACAAAATATTAAAAATAATGAGAGAGATTTTTTTTAATAAATATGTAAACGATAAATTATATGAGAAAATATTGAATTAAATATAAAAAGAAGAAGAAAAAATCTTAATTGTGATGAAGATAAAAGAAAGTGTTTGGTTTTCTATAATATAATGAGTCTATTCTTCTAGAAGTTCAAAAATTCATTCCTAGTTAATCCAATGAAATTCATTTCCACTTTTAGTCCATGTTCTGTGCGAATAAGTCGTAAGTAAACAACCCAAATAAGTTGTGCGAATAAGCCAGATAGACCAATAAGCATAATTAAGCCGCAAGTAAACAACCAATTAATGGGATTTAGATTGAATTAATTTTCTGCTTCGAGCTAACCTAATTTTTCGTAAACAATTGTCTAAACTTGTTAAACAACTTGAATATAACAAATGTTACCATACGTAAACAACTCCAAATATTTATGTTTTGTCCTATAAATTATCATAAGGTGTTAATTAATCAACAACAAAAATCATAAGAGCAGTGCCTAATTTGTTTGATCCTGACCTTCAAAAGTCAAAAATGTCTAAAGGTCTCAAGTTTAAATCCAATAAAAAATAAAAATCTTTTTGTGGCCACAAAGATTCAAATACAGTGACTTCATTTTACCCATAAAGCAGATGATCGTTTTGGAATTATTCAGAAAAGAATATGAAAGTCAACCCAAAATTTGTATTTGCAAATTGAATTTGACTTTTGAAATTTACCTGGGAAAGTTCCTTTTACTTTGTATATATTAGCTTCCATGATCCTTGTTTCAAGGGGAAATATTATTTGGTGCCATAATTAATTATCACATGATTTAATTAATAAATTATAAAAAAAACATTTAATTATTTAATTTGGTCGGTCTTAATACCACGAGCTTTACATTAATTACCAGCATATTTTCTCATGGATACACTCATAATTCATATCTATTTTAATTCATTAGAATTAGGTTTCACTCGGTGTAGGTCTCGACTTTCGTTTTAGCTGATAAAATCTATTTTTCGTTGAAGATTTTTATTATTATTATTATTATTTATTTAATTGTAGCTGTTTCATTAAGATAGTCTGAATATACATCGACTAATTAAATGAGATCTTAAAGTTAACGGTAAAAAAATCTAAGTTATTTTTAGGAATCTTTATTTGTTGAGCTACTCACAAAGGTTTGAAAAAAATTAGGTTGCTAAATCATTTGCATTCTTAATTTTTATGTTTAAATATTTAATAATCACTGCAACAAAATCGTGTTTATAGAATACTCATAATTTCTGAGCGTCTTAATAGACCTCTCCCAATTTCTGAGCGTCTTAATAGACCTCTATATAGGACTTAGTTTATAGGACCAAAAAAATAATGTGTCCTATCAAAATGCGTTGTAATAAGTTTATATGACCTTTTTTTTTACGTCGTAATTAGTTTTTTAGAACACTTTTAATATAAAACGTTTCATTAGCAACTTTATATGACACTATTTTAAAAATTATCCTATAAAAAATTGATTTTGTAGGACACTTTCTTAAAAGTGTCATATAAAGTTGCTAATGCGACACTTTGTATTAAAAGTGTTCTAAAAAACTTGTTAAGACGCCCAAAAGCGTTATATGAACTTATTACAACACATTTAGATAGAACGCTTTATATTTTGCTCCTATAAATTAAGTCATATAAAACGGTCTATTGGGACGCTTAGAGATTGGGGGCGTCCTATAAACTCAATTTTGTTGTAGTGAATGCATTATGGTAAAGTTGGCAAAATTTTAAGTTTTATACTTACAAGTCGTTTACAGAACACTGTTAATCTGAAGCGTTCACTGGCTCATTTACTTTACATGTTGGTATTATAAAGATCAAGAATCTTACTCTGTAAAAGACATGAGGACCAGTAATCTTACGCAATAAGGGAAGGTGGTGACTTTTATCATAAGCGTTTGTCCGGTAAACGTTTTGTTTTAGCAACGACTTAATTACATACATACAACAAACTATGAAATGCACCAATAAACATGTTATAGAAGTTTTGGTAACCGTAAACATCAGAGTCAAATTAAGTGTCTCTCGACTAATGATCATATGGGATCTTGAAGTTAATGGTCAAACAAACTATTGAACTTTGGAACAAATCCAAGGTATATAATAATAGTTGAGCTAGCCGCAAGCGGTCAAGGTTATGTATAGTATTGTAGAAGTTTCATATAATATACATGTTTTTTAGGTTAACGTTAATTTGTATACATATAACTATACACGGATGTTTATGTTATATATATATATGGTTGAGTTTTGATTAGAAGAGAAGTTATGGTGAGAAGCGTAAAAATAGTTTATCACACTTCTATCAATCGTAATTGAATGTTAACACTAATGATGCACCAGATTAATTTATTTTAAAATAGAATTCATGGGAAGAAATAACATTAAAAGTGATCAAGAGTTCATCAACCCTATATTATATAATATATATATACTAGAAGAGTACTCGCGTAATGCAGCGAAACACATCTCGATTTTAATGTTCTATTTTATTATTTGTTTCTGTTGATGTTATAATATGATTTTATGTGTTTTAAAAAAAAACAATAATGATTTTATTTTTGAATAAAATATAAATTTTAAGATATCTTAAAATTTTGAAAAAAAAAAGAATATATATCAATGTTAATATCAAATCAACTATTTAAAAGTTCTATTTTCTTTATGTAATTTCTTTAATTTATTTTTTATTATAATTTAATTTAAGTTTAATAACGAAATAATTTATTTTTGGTTTAATAATATAACATTTTATAAAGATAATAATTAAGTATTATGTTAGAACTTAATAATTATCTTAATTTTATTTTAGATTTTTTTATATTTAAAATGTGATGTTTATTCTATATTTGATTATATTTATCTGCAGTTATTTACACAAATTCAGATATGGAGCTTTAATAAGTTGTACCTACGCACCAATCTACTTGCAATCTTGAGTTTTAAGTAATATGCAATAATAAACAATATTTACACATAAAAAATGATTTTTAAAAGTTTTTGTCAAATATCTTATAATATAGTATGTATATATGTGTGTGTGTGTGTGTGTGGAGATAGAGATATCTAGAAGTAAAAGTTTGCAAATATTATTAGCTTAATTAATAAAAAGGATTATGTTGGTTACTCGATCTTTTTGTTTAGTCAACCCCAATATTTTTATTTTACGACACTCCCATGCATGATACTGAGATTATAATTTAGCCTATTTTATTATTATTATTATTATTATATATATCATTCATATTTGTATAAACCGTGCAAACCATCCTTATTTGTTTAATTTTATGAAATTGTTTCATATAATAGTTTTTTTTTTATGAAATTGTTTCATATATGGTTATGAAATTGTTTCATATAATACTTATGAAATATTAATGAAACTGTTTCATGTATTTCTCTAAAATTAATATAATGAAGATGATAATATTCATAATTAACACTTTCTATAATAAAAATGAAAAAATGAAAAATTATGATTGGTTAATTAAATGAAGTTTGTACGGTCTATACAAATAACGTGGTTTGTAAAATAAACCTTATATATATATATATATATATATATATATATTAAAATTGAGAGTTGTAAAAATTGGGTTTGGGTTTTTTGAAGTATTAAAATTAGTTTTTCATAAATTTTTTAATCTCTGTCGTATATATTGTTTTAGGAGTCTTTAATTAAATCAGGGTAAATTTATAAATAAACAATTTTTCTATTTATTCACTTTTCCATGCGACCTGTTCATCATTGCCACTAATACTTGGCATGCGCTATCATTTTTCATAGTATAAGAAATTTAGGGTATTAAAAGTGTATTATTATATCATTTTATTATGCATAATCGTATATATTTTGAAACTACAATAATTATATAAGTTTTGCTTGGTAGAATTGATTTGCATGAATTTTTGTCTTCCATCCCAAGCAAGGGCGGACCCAAAGAAAAAAAAATTAATGGTGGCACCATATAATTTAGAAAAAATTAATTGCAAAAAGCGGCTTTTATCGATGTGTCTTCGTTCGATGTGATTTTAGCCTAATTCCACTGTTTCGAGTGATTTTTAAAGGTTTTTTTTGTTTGATTCTGAGGAATTTTTTAGTTTTCTTTTTATCGATTTTGAGGGACCTTTTCAGTTTTTTTTGGTTGATTTCAAGAGTTTTTTTTTTTTTTTTGGTTTTTTGGTTGATCACGAGGTACAGTTGCATTTTTTTGAACATCATACGATGACACCTTCTAAAACGATACAAATGCACCTTTTATAAACGTAAATT